CTCTTCGTCTGTCCCACATAGGAAACCTAGCTGGTAATAAGACAATTTAGTACTCATAATAAGTATCATTTTTTATTTAAATTTAAGTCTTGTTTCAAACACATTATGTAAAAGTTACAATACATAAAATAATGGAATAACTATTCTTTGTTACATATAAATTCTATTTATACCTATACTTGATAAAAATAAGTAGCTCAATAAAGAAATAAACAATACAGCTTTTTATAGTTTAAATACAGGAAATAATTATAATTTTAGAAAATAAAGCTGTCGCTAAAAAACGGATGAAGTGCGAAAGAATACGCTATGCCTCACAGAAGGTGGATGTAACAAGTTCTGATTATAATGAAGATTCTTCTTCTGACATACAAGGGTTGTGTCGTAAAAAGATAGTAAGTTTATCTTTACTTACATTACTATAATAGATACAAAAAAAATAATTATTAAGAGAATCCCTCATCCGTCTGTATTTTTAATTCTGTTCATTTAACACAACGGAAAGAACATAGAACGAAAATCGTGATTTTATCTGTAATACAGACGGCTGAGGGATCCCTTTAAATGTACTTTTTCAGATTTTTTGCTATTAATAAAGCAGGGAGCACAGACTTCTGCATAACGCATAATGCATAAGGCGTAAGGAAATAAAGCAATTAGAGTTCTTCATAGAAATGAAGCACTCTGGTTTATTTCCTTATGCGTTATATGCAGAAGTCTGTGTTCCCGCTTAACATTTTATTTCATATTTAAAATATTAAACTTTATTCACAAAACAAGGGTAAAATTTGTATAAAAAACAAATGGTAAATTATAATGTGAACACCTGGGAAATGCACTCCTTTTTTTATTAATATTATAAATTATAATTTCTTATTAATAAAATAAGTAGTGCATTTCCCAGGTGTTTACATTATTCTGTCTACCCCCTGTATATATAAATATTTTTTCAGCGTAAAACAGACACCGTAAAAAAAAAGTGGCAATAACAATTGCTCAGGAAGTTCTGCAATCATACAAAAAAAGTTCTTTTCTGAATGAAAGGCCAAAAATTAATGATAACTCTGTAACAAGTTTCGCGAATCAACGTAACATTCCTAATGATATTTCTAATAATGTTCCTAATGATGTTCTACATAAAGGTAATTGATAAAATTTAAGTTATGAAACTAAATAGTATTTTTGAAGAAATTATCCGAATTAGTACATGAATATATAAAGATCGTTGCATAATTAATATATTTGATTAATGTGCTACAAATATTGAAATGTTTGAAATGCTCTTTTTATTTATATATCAGATATCAATGTTGAAGACAATGTTGAAGACAATGTTGAAGACAATGTTGAAG